CTGTCCTGTGTGTATCAAGTTTTCCAAGCCCTCCTTCCTCATTACCTGCTCCAAAAATTTAAACTGCTTCTTTCTGATGTTAAGTATAAGTTTTTTTTCTTTTCTAAAACCTCGTCGTTGCTCATATGTTCGGTCCATGATGGTATCCTCAGCATCTTTCTGTAGAGCCACATTTTTGGTGCATCAAGTCTCTTCTTCATCTTTGAGAAGATTGTTCAGCATTTGCTGCCATACAAGAAGACTGTTATCAGCACTGTTCCCTCTGTTTCTAACGAAGTTTTCCTGTCTCTTAATATCTTTGGCCATCCCAATACATTTTTGGGTCTCTTTCCATCCTCTGCTAGAATACTTCCCAGATATCTAATTTTTTGTACTTTTTTGATTTTATTTAAAGATATACGGTCAGAATATTCTGTTCGACGCTAACGAATTGGATTTGACACTGCCATTATGGGGTAGAAGTAGCGTTGGATTTTTTTCCCCCACTTTTTTCTCGATTTTATATTTTTACAAAAATAAGAAGTCAAATATCTACTCATTGGAAATGCGTCGAAATATCTACGATCAATATTCCATCACAACATGCATTACATGATGCAACATCAAAAATTAACATTAAAATAATTAGCATATAATCAATACGAAAGTGTGCGTGCATATATATATATATATATATATATATATCACTTTCCTACTAATAGCAGACTTAGCAAGATCTTTAATAAAAACACCTTAAGATTAAGTTACAATTACACTGAAAATCTAGAAAGAATCATAAAGAAACATAATAATAAAATCCTGGAAAAACACGCATGCCAAAAGAGTATGAATAAAAATCTTAAACTAAAATTAGACAAAGTGATTGTAGAAAACCTGAAAATAAATGCCGCACAAAATCTGTGTTATACCAATGCACTATCTCATCTATTGAGAGTCCTAACACTGAAAGGATATACATTGGGTCAACGAAGAATGAATTTAAAATTAGATGGAGACAACACAAAAGCTCCTTCAATAATATTAGAAATAGAAGTCAGACATCTCTATCCAAATATTTTTGGCTATATATATATATATATATATATATATATATATATATATACATGTTTCATTAAATAATATAGATAAGTGTTGTCTATATTTTATGTAAATTCTTTTCATAACGTCTGATAAGCTTAATAACATTATCATTAAACGAAGAAAGAAGATCACAATATTGATCCATATTTTTTAATATTTTTTAATGATAATGTTATTAAGCTTATCAGACGTTATGAAAAGAATTTACATAAAATCATTAGACAACATTTGTCTATATTATTTAATGAAACATGTATGAATAAAAAAACGCTGCCAAAATACATACACAATATATATATATATATATATACTTTAAATTTAATCTTAAGTAATCTAGTTTTAGCTTTTATTAAAATATTCAATTTGTTTTCCTCATATTGTAAAATTTTCTTTTGGGATATTATCTATTTATTTTAATTTCTTCCTTGATCTTATTATTTTCAATATTCTGACAGATAAAGAAAGTAGCAAATGTTAAATTATTGCTTTTGCTGTTCCATACGCTAGAAGAGTGAACTCCAAGGTAACTGAAAAGTCTGGAAAATACCACGACCTTTCCTGGGAGCTGAAGAAGCTAAAGAACATGATTTCAGTAATGGGTGCACTTGGAACATCACCTAGAAACTTGAGAGAGTGCCTAGGAAAAATTGGAATTGAAACGAAGATTGTAGAGCTCCAAAAAACTGCCATCATTTACTCTGCGAGGATTCTCCGAAAAGTTCTTTAGTTGTGAGGAGTTTTGTTTGGTACCATGTCTCCTGAAGAAAATACCAACATAATACTACTACTACTGCTGCTACTACTACTACTACTACTAATAACAACAATAATAATAATACTAATACTACAAATACTACTATTAATAATAATACTAATTTTAATACTAATAATACTACTACTAATACTAATACTAGTAGTAGTAGTACTACTACTACTATTACTACTACTACTACTAACTTATTAATAATAATGGTATCAATAATAATAATCATTGTGCTTTGTGATGGCCGTCGTTGCAGATTATAATATATGTTTGAATATATTCCAAAAACTATCAAAATATAAGGACCTTGAAATGGAAATCTTAAAAATGTGGCACATAGGGTCATCAATAATTACAGTTGTAGTTGAAGGCCTTTTATATTTTTACAAAAAAGGGATCAGTGGAAAATGTCATGAATCCATTTCTGACCTTAAATCTCTGGTTGGGACCCGGAAGGAAATGTGGATGCAACAGAATTCAAAGAAAATAATAACAATAATAGATTATGATAATAATATTTTTCCAGAATTAAAAAAAAATCCCACCCTGTTGTGAAAACCTTGAATAAGTAATATTTAGTCATAGACTCAAGTATAAACAGTCAATGTTTATCTATAGATTCGTGTATGAATGAGCGATGTTTATCTATGGATTCAAGTTTAATGGAAAACTATGATAATAATTAAGCCAACAAAGGATTAGATGCCTTAAAATCAACGAAAGCAAACTTCATTTTTATTAAGTGAACAAATTTTAATCAGCTCAAGTAGTAATTGCATGCTTGACAATTGTGACCTCCTAATAAAATAATATAAAAATAACATTTATGGTTACGCATGCGCACTTGAGCCTTTATAGCCTTCCCGTGGATTAAAATGATAGCATTATGAATAGTATTGAGTGTTGGGAATACTGAGAAGGCAAAGGTAATATTGGCCCGTGTTTGCCGAAATACGTGCAAGAAAAGAATTGAAGCTTTTCGAAACTTATAAAATTGGGATGGATTATAAAAGCCATGAGATGATCTTGAATTTGAAGATTCGAAACATTTCACATTAGTTTTGTCGCTTATCACTGAAAAGTCAGTCATCATTTATTTTATTTTTTCAGTGTTTTTTTATTTATAAATGAAGCGTCTCTTTCATTTCTTTATCTTCAGTTTCTTCCTTTCTTTCTTTTTTATTTTCTTTCTTTTATTTATTCCCTTTCTTTCTTTCTTTCTTTCTTTCTTTCTTTCTTTCTTTCTTTCTTTCTTTCTTTCTCCTAGACGTTCTTTCTTTCTTTCTTTCTTTCTTTCTTTCTTTCTTTCTTTCTTTCTTTCTTTCTTATTCCTAGACGTTCTTTCTTTCTTTCTTTCTTTCTTTCTTTCTTTCTTTCTTTCTTTCTTTTTCCTAGACGTTCTTTCTTTCTTTCTTTCTTTCTTTCTTTCTTTCTTTCTTTCTTTCTTTCTTTCGTTCTTTCTTTCTTTCTTTCTTATTCCTAGACGTTCTTTCTTTCTTTCTTTCTTTCTTTCTTTCTTTCTTTCTTTCTTTCTTTCTTTCTTTCTTCTCTTTTTCTTTCTTTCTTTTATTTACTTATTCATTTCTTTCTTTCCCATTTTTTCTTTCTTTCTTTCTTTTTCTTTATTCTCTTTTTCTTTTATTTATTTTCTTTCTTTTATTTACTTATTCCCTTTCTTTCTTTCTTTATCTTTCTTCCTTTCTTTCTTTCTTTCTTTCTTTCTTTCTTTCATTTATTTACTTATTCCCTTTCTTTTTTTCTTTCTTTTTCTTCCTGTCTTTCTTTCTTTTTCTTTATTCTCTTTTTCTTTCTTTTTTCTTTTATTTATTTTCTTTCTTTTATTTACTTATTCTCTTTCTTTCTTTCTTTCTTTCTTTTATTTCCTTTCTTTTTCTTTCTTCCTTTCTTTCTTTCCTTTTCTTTATTCCCTTTTTCTTTCTTTCTTTTCTTTCTTTCTTTTTCTTTATTCTCTTTCTTTCTTTCTTTCTTTCTTTCTTTCTTTCTTTCTTTCTTTCTTTCTTTCTTTTATTCCCTTTCTTTTTCTTTCTTTCCTTTCTTTCTTTTTCTTTATTCTTTCTTTCTTTCTTTCTTTCTTTCTTTCTTTCTTTCTTTCTTTCTTTCTTTTATTCCTTTCTTTTCTTTCTTTCCTTTCTTTTTCTTTTCTTTATTCTTTTTCTTTCTTTCTTTCTTTCTTTCTTTCTTTTTATTCCTTTCTTTTTCTTTCTTTCTTTCTTTTTCTTTCTTTCTTTCTTTCTTTCTTTCTTTTCTTTATTTCTTTCTTTCTTTCTTTCTTTTTCTTTTATTCCTTTCTTTTTCTTTTCTTTCCTTTCTTTTTTTTTTCTTTCTTCTCTCTTTCTTTCTTTCTTTCTTTATTTCTTTCTTTCTTTCTTTCTTTCTTTCTTTCTGCCTTATAATTTGTTTTTCTTTCCTTCTTTTTTAATTACTCTTTCCTCCTCTACATTCATGTTACTTACTTCTTTCCTTTCTTCGTTACTTTCTTTGTCTTTCATTTTCCCGCCTTTTTCTTTCGTTGACATTCACTGTCTCATTCATTTTTTCTAAGTTATTTTCTTCTTTTTTCTTTCATTTTATTTTATGTCTGTTTCTTTCTTTCTTCTTAATTGTATCTTTTCTTCCGTTAATTCTTCTACTAATTGACTTTGTTTTCTTCCTTCTTTCCATTTAATTTCTTCCTTTCTAACGATGTTTTACTTTTACATTCTTTCTCAGTTCAATTTTTCCCTACATGCATTGCAACGATTATATTTATTTCTTAATTCTTCAGTAAATTCAACTGAAACTTTATTTCTCGTTTCACCCACCCACTGTCGCCATAAAAAAAATCCACACGCAATTTGCTAGAAGGCGAACAAAAGTGAAACGTTCAACCGGCATTTGTTCTGCAATGTCGTGCATCGAATTTTCGACTCACTGCCTTCGCCGCCTGTGAAAAAAAAAGTTTATTTGGTTTTCGTCTGCTATCATTCAACATTCTAATGGCTTCCCAGTGCTAAACTCGCCCCGCAGGCATAGAAAAAGATGAAGAACGTGGGAAGCGCTCTGGCTGCCAAAGAAGAAGAAGAAAAAGAAAAAAAGTTCCTTGCGTTTTGTGCCTCAGCGAACAATGAATCGTTTTCTGTTGGCAAAATGGTGACCCTCAAGCGATTTGCAATTTATTCCTGATATCTTTAAATGGTATCTGCGGAAGGAACTGTAAAGCGTCCATCATACCGATGCAGTAGGACCAACGCCAGAGAGGGGCGGAAACAGAAAAGGCGGGAAAGAAAGAGGGAGGAACAGAAGAAGAGATAGAGAGAGAGAGAGAGAGAAAAAAAAAGAGTGAGAGAGAGGAAAAGAGATGGGTGGGAGAGAGGGAGAGAGAAGTAGTTAGTGGGAGAGAGAATGAGAGAGAGTGAGAGATAGAGAGACAGAGAAGGAAAACTGAATGAGGGACAGACGGAGTGGGAGAGCGAGACATAGAGAGCGGAAAAGAGCGATGGATGGCGAAAGAGGGAGGGAGAAAGAGAGGGAAAGAGAGACATAGAGAAAAGAAAAGAGAGATGGATGGAGAGAGAGAGGGAGAGAGAAAGAGAGAAGAGAGAGGAAAAGAGAGGGGGAAAAAGGGGAAGAGAGAAGAAAAGAGAGAGTGAGGGAGAAAGAGAAAAAGAGAGAGAGAGGGACAAAAAAGAGAGAGAGGAAAAGAGTGGGGAGAAAGAGGGAAGAGAGAAGAAAAGAGAGAGTTAAGGAGAAAGAGGGAGAGAGGGGCAAAAAGAAGGAGAAAGCGTAAAAGAGGGAGAAAGAGAGGGGGAGAGATACGAAAAGCGAGAGGGAGGGAGAGGGAAAAAGTAAAATTATGAGACCTATCTGCCAATCTAGTATTGCCCCTAAAGTCGAGATTCCAAAGAGAATAAAAACAAACCAGAACCATTGAAGTATTTATAGAAAAGGGAAACTACATTACAACAGCTGGAAGATCACTGAAGCCGCGATGTAAGGTCATGACCGATAATATTACAGATTATTGTTGGGGTTTTGTCAAGTTTATGTAAAGCAGTATTTTGCAACCTTGTTTTTAAAATTCAGGGCGCACTCGGAGAATAGTTAAAACTCTAGGATGCACTTTCAATTTTAGTAAGCAAAAATTAGACATGAAATAAGAAAATAATGAAGTTTCCTGAAATAAGCACTAATTTTTAAGACATGACATTTTATATTTAAGTCTGCTTGCGTGAAATCTATGCTTGATGTGATTTGGCAATGTTTTGAATGTTTGGCCTTATATGTGTTAAGCATACACCAAATTCCCCGTGCATGCATTTAATATTTGATCTATTAGTGAAAGATTAAAAATCAGTTTAAAATATCAAACGTCCTGGGTATGACGATAAACTACATCCGGTAGCCAGGTTTCTAATTTGGAGGTTTTGAGGTGTATGAAATCATTTCTTAATTGCTGTTGTCCCCAGGTTCACCCTGACCCGCGGTGGTAGCACTTGTTAGTGTCTTAAATATGGGCAAATAGTTACCCCCCCCAACTGGGATCAAAACACTATGAAAGTATAAGAATACATTTTTATAGTAAAAATACCAGCAATACATCCGAAGAGAATTGAATTTTCGTATTAAATGACCCATGAGGAGTTAATGTGCCGCTAAACAAAGACAAAATAAAATGTCAAATGACAAACACTTGACTTAAACATAGAATCTATGTGCTTAGTGTCTCTAGCTTTTCAAAATAAAGATTTTTTTTTTATATAAAAATAGTATCTGTCTATATTTCTGAGATGAGGAATTATGTACATTAGTTACATTATTCCGACTATTGTTCTCATCTTTGTCGCCATATTTATTACAACGTTTCAGCTGTTGTACGCTCGAGCCTTCTTCAGGTGGGTGGAAACTCAAACTGAACTCTTTATTTCTTTCGCTGGGGTAGACTGTTCTAGTTCCACGTGTCATGTTTTGATGGATGTCAGTTGTCAATTATCTCCTGTTGATTTCCCTCTGAAAGGTCTCCACTGCCTTAACCGGGTATTGAACTCACGCTCTTTGGGTCCTGTCACTGGATCTATCTAACATGACACAGTGGATAAAGACGTTAGCGAAATAGTGGTGTTCAGTTCGATATTCTAACCACCTGAAGAAATCCGGAGCGTAGTAATATATATGGCGACAAAGATGAGGACAACAGTCCGAATAATATAAATAGTGGATATAAAAATAATTCATAAGACACTTTTCAGATTGTCTTTAGTGAGCCCGGGTCCACCGGCTGAGAAATCTGCTTCAGATAAAAGATCTTCTGTCATATTTAACGGCGGTAAGTACGTATTTCGTCAAGGATATTTGGTCTTCATTTGATAAAACTTTGAAAAGCGATGAAGATTTATTTTGAGAATCTCATCGATGATAACATTCTGGCTCGCCATTACCATCTCTCGAGTTTGCTGAATCTTCTTGTCAGTTTTGGAGGCTGACGGGCATACTCATCCTTCTTCCTGTGTCACGCGAGTCAGGACACTTTTAAAATTCCTTATTCACCTCCTTTTACGCGGTAGTGAACTGTTGCCATATTGTGCTAAAAGCCACCGATGATTTTTCAGCTCCTGACACACCTTCAGACTAGAAACATCGGATCGTTACTCTTTGTTCCTCCTTGGTGACTTTTTAAAAAACTTACAGTACCTCAACAACCAAGCTAGTAGCATTTCGTCCTCACTATTGCGATACCGAGTTTCACACCTTGAATGGAACTCTTATAATGTCAAAGATGCTGGAACAATGCTCAGTTCATACTGTCGCCCTTAGAAGAGTCCATATGTGCGTTGGGGTTGCAAAATAATTATTTTCTAGCCCTCATAGATTTCAAAATCGTTTACACAGTCATGCTGGGCAAACTTTATTCTCCACTTTAAAGCCTGTTTTCCAGATCTCTCGTTGCAATTCTATTGCTATTCTATTGCTATTCCATGGCAAATGTTCAGATAAGCGCTCCTTTCTATAGTGCCATCAGATCAGATCGTTAACAGCTAGGACATGCAATTCTACTTCCACAGATTCGAATAACACTAATTTTCCCGTGTTTCAAATGTAACGTTCCACTTAGAAAGGTTTTCCCAAAGAACTCCTGCGTGGATGCTCCCCTGAATACTTCAATCTTAACGATCTAGGATCAGTTGTCATCTTTCCCTTTTATTCCAACCATCTCCTCTTTTATTCATATGATGCATATCACTCAATATTACTATTTTCGACTGTATCCCTCTAGCTTGGGTGTCTATCGGGCCTTGCGTAGGGAAAAAATTAGTACAAAATTTTAATTTCTTTCAGCGGGTGGCGCACATTTTTTTTAAGCATATCACCCCAAACAAGGTGGGATTGCCACTAGAACGCAAGGGGTTACAGAAGGTGGGAGCAAGAGTAAAGAGGGGGTGTTTGAGGAAAGGATATAGAGGTGAACGGAGATCAGGATCAGGGCATCAGATGATGTCGATTGACATTACATTTGAATATTTGAAGTTTATAGTTATCAGGGAAGCAAGTAAGGGGAAGGGAGTTCCACTGTCGGAAAGTGCAAGAGAAGAAGCTGTTGGAGTAGAAGAAGCGGGTACATTTAAAGGTTTGAACGGTGAAAGGGTGGGACCGACATGCCAATCTAGTATCAAGTTTCAATTCATGCAGTTGGGGCACCAGTGAAAGTTGCTTGTCAGAGCAGTTGCCATGAAAATATTTGTAGAAAGTACAAAGGGAAGACGGCTCACGTCTGTGATAAAGGGACTGTAGACGAGATGCCAGGTCAGGTCTTATCACATTGCATATCCGTCTTTGTATTTTGTCGCGAACCTCGATATGAACAGCGGAGCACCAGACCATATATGACAATAGTATACATTTTTTATACATAGGAAGGTAGGTAAGAACTACATTATTAATATATTGATAGTTATTATCGATGCGTGGTTTTAGTAATTGGAGGGTCGAGTTCGAATTCCAGTCGAGTTCATTACATTCACTTACGTGCTGATAGGCTTGAGGAAGGTATGAATCTATATCTATGGGTAAATAACAGGCCATAGGGTTGCAACCGGTCTAGGAGAAGGAAAAAACTATGCATTCAAAATAACCTGGAGAGGCTCGGACTCCATCAGGCCATCTTGCCCAAGACACACCACTGCTAATACGGCAGCTGTGTGTGTAGTACCCCTTAGACGCTCAGAGGTTAAGGGTCGCGTGATTTTGATTATGCGTATGCATACAGACGTGCATCCGTCTATGTGCGTTTCTTGTCTTTTTGTTTCGTTGTCTGGCTGTACGTGTGTCCTGTGATTTGCATACATTTTAATATCCAAGAAACACAAAACTGTGTGCATCTTCTAAAATCGTCATTGAGATGGAGAACTGTGACCAGAGAAAATGGCCGTTTGTTTTTTCTTTCGAACCATAGAATGAAAGACAAAGGGCAGAATAGCAGACTGCAATAATTATATGAACCGTAAAAGATTTCAAATATCAATCATTACCGTTTATATCACAAGGCATAGAATCTTTTTTCATCTATCTTTACATGTTGAGTGTCGCTATTCCTCACTTAACGACTTATTTGTCTAACAATACCCGGACTTACGACCAGCTATAAAATATTTAAAAAAAAAAGATCCATTCATTCATTTTTACATCTTATCAACTCTGCATGTTATTTGACAATTCTAAGAATTTTGTTTGGAGATAATGATTTAGTGATGCAAGTCTTACTAATTAACCCATAGCTGGGAGGAGAAGTGGTGGATTCATACCTAATCAGAATTTTATAAGCAAGCAAGAAATTATGATTTGGATACAAAGTAGGGCGTCAATTCTCTGCTACATTCAACGTATATAAATTGATCCCTCACTTTGTGGGTACGGTAGTTTCTGTAAATTTATATTCGAGAAAATGTAAATAAATCTATAAGACATGCCTGTGTAGCTAATCACTATTTCATTGATTGATTCGTTTTTTACGGCTTATCAACCCTTTGCAGGTTATTTAAAGCCAGGAAATATTTTTACATTGTAAAAATTCTTTGGAGGTAATAATGCTTTACTGATACAAGTTTTATTAATTAACCCATAGTATTTGATTTCGTTTTGTGTCAGCCTTACTGTCTTTTCAACTGAGCAATGGTGAGAGGAAAAAGATCATTCAAGCCTTCAGTAATGGTTTCAACATTCATACTCTGGCTTCCATCTTCAAAGTCCATTCAAGAACCATCAAGAGAATGGTGAATAAGTTTAAAACAGAGGGAACAGTAGAGAGGAAAACTGGATCAGGAGATCACAACAGGAATAAGGATCATCATTTTTGCTTAGAGCTAAAGCGATCAATTAGAAAAGATACAACTCAATCCTTATACGTTGTCACGTGAGAGAGAAGTTTCAGCTATGACAGTCCAAAGAGCAGTGAAAAAAGACTTGAAAATTAAATTATACGTGAAACCTGGGAGGCAATTTGTTACTCCAGAACAGAAGGTTAGAAGGTTAGAGTGCGAAGATCATCTTGAATAAGTTAGAAAATCATCCTGTCATAATATATATATATATATATATATATATATATATATATATATATTTGAACTTTATTTCAATCCTTCATGAGCTTCCTTTCCGTAGCTATGATTAATTAAAGATGAACATATCATTTTCGTTTATGATCGATTTCATCACGATTCTTCTGTTAATCTTGGAGAGTAATTATACATTCTTATGGCTCAAAGTAGAGTCCAATAGTGCTATAAAAACCACGGAGAATTCCAGTAATATACCTTTAATCATTATTAAGATACAAAGGTTCAGACAAAATGAGAGATACCTGGTCCTGGAGGTTCCAACACTGCAGCAGTCA